TAACTTAATATCTAATTATGATGCTGGCAACGTCAAGGAAGCATTGCACAGCAGTCTTGTGACTGAATTTTTTTTTTTAAGTTTTGCTTTTGCTAGTCACTGATCATATCCCTCCTCCTTCCTCCTCCTGTATAATCTTCACAGTGGGACCAATGTGACCGGAAAATGAACTGCTATGAAATGGGTTTTCATTTCAGAGCAGTGGGTTCAGTTTGTGAAACCAATTTTGTTTTTCCAATGATTTCCGCCCATGTCACAAGACAAAGCCATGGAGGCACATAGGGAGTTGTGACGAAGTGGGGATTGTATTCATGCTGTTCACTTTGTTACGTTACTGTGTGATTTCTACTGTCCTCTACTCTTCTGTAGTAACTCTGCACGTGTGTGTGTGCGTGTGTGTGCGCGCACTTGCCTCTGTTTCCCTGGATACTGCACTGGAGCACAGATGGGGATGAGAATTTGGGTGTGACTCTCACTGAAGGGAGGCTGTCCCAGGCTGCCCAGGCCAGCAAAATGGTGCAGGCTCACTGTCACATGAGCCTGGGAGGGGTGTGTGCCCAGGTGACACCTTTTGCCCAGGAAGCTGGACAAAGGAGGAGGTGGAGCTGCCTGCAGAATGGAGACTTGTAGCACAGTGTATGAGTTAGCCTCCGCTAGCTTAGGATACAGGGAGAGGGCCCAGGGCCCTGGCTTTGGGCCCCCCTCTACACAAGGTGGATTGTACTGGCTGCTTCTGGTTCCTGTGCTGACAAGTCTGTTCTATGCTGTATCCCCGTGAACTAATAAACCTTCTGTCCTACCTGCCGACTGAGAGGCACATCTAGATGCGGCTGGAGGGTGACAGGAGTATCTTTAAAATGCCTCTTGCTCTTTGTCACGTGTGACCATTGTGCCAGGGGAATCACGTTTGGAGACACAAAAGGAAACTTACTTCAGGGATGTTTATATATTTCAAATTAAAAAAGTTTGGAGGAGGCTGGAGCAAGAGAGAGAAAGAGGAGAGTAATTTTGACATGGCACACGATGGTACAGATTGCATAGCTAAAGCAGAATTAAATTAGGCAGATCTGTCTCTCATCTTCTAATAAGGTCCCCGGGCAACTAGGCATTGTTTGGAATTGCTATCATGTTGCTCATGGGTCTGAACTGGGGTCAGCAAATGGAAATGTGCCATTTCTTTGTGGATGCATACGAAATGGGAATGAGAATTCACTCAGCCTGAATTCTGGGAAAGAATTACCAAGCTTATCATCTTGCAGTCAGTTAGTTTTGTTTTAGTTAAGCTAATGCAGGAGTTCCCAATCTGTGGTCCGCAGGCCCTTGGTGGTCTGTGATGGTACTGCAGGGGGTGCATGGAAAGTTTAAAAATAAGTCTCGGGCCCACCGAGGTGGTTCTGATCCTTACTTTTCTTTTTTCTTTTTTTCTTTTCCTTTGCTTTTTTTTTCTCGCCAAGGGAGTGGGATCCATGAAGTTTTAATAGATTGAAAAGAGGTCTGTATGCTTGAAAAGGTTGGGAACCTCTGAGCTAATGCATCCAACTGCCTTAACCCATTGTGTGGGGAGGGGGCTTTCCTGCTTTCAGTTTTAGCTTCCTCGTGCCCAAAACTGTGGCTACCGTGTTGGATGCCAGGGCTCTAGAATCTGATAAGTAGCAAAGGATGTATTGGAGAAAGTATTTGGCTGAGAAAATCTCAGCTCTTCTGCATGGGTGGTGTTCCCAGAGCTTGTCATGGTACTTGAACAATCAGTGCTCTCTGCAAAAGAAACCATGTTTCCTCTGTAGACTTCAGGCTGTTGTAATCCAGCTGTTACCAGTGTGTGGAAAAGGGGAGGACTGGAGAGAGAGAGAGAGATGGGGGAGGTGGGGAGGGAGGGTTAAGTAGGGACACAGATTCCCATCTCTCATTTCAAATTTCACCAGCCAGTTTTACAGCTGCTGATACAATTGGATGGAAGCTACAGATGACTAATGTGGCAACTGATGTTTGCTTGCTGGCCCTTTTAACTTGAAGCAGGAAAACTAGTGAACTGCTATTGGAAGGGTGGTAAAGGCAAGTGTGTGAGGTAGTATGGTTCTAAAAGTGAAGTAGGGTCCTTGGAGTGTACATGAAAGTCTCAACCTAAAAGGTTTGGCTTTCCCATTGGCATTCATTGTGGTGATTTCCGCATACCCAAATGTATTGTGGAGACTGTAGTTTCATTCATACTGAGTTTACCGTGAATTGTCTCTTACACTCAGTAGCTGGATGTAATCATCTAATAAATTATGAAGATGAAAGGCTGTAAGATCCATGCCCTAATGGACTATCTGGGCCTCATTCTCTGAGGTGCCAATGAATCTGAGCTCATATTAACTTTGTTTGGAATTATGAGCACTTGTGCAAAGAATCAATCCCCAGAGGAAATGGCATGCCGAGAAATCTATTGCCCGAATCATTTTCCTTCACTTCCTTCCTGGAAGTTTGGCTTATTGCAATAATGCCCTATGTGGAATATGCACTCTTTCAAATTGAAATTTTCCATTATCCAGAGCCGGCATGGATCTCCCCAATTTTGGGAACCAAGATGTAGTCTAGTGATTTGGATGTCTGCAAAATAGTATACACCAGTGGCCCATGAGAGTCCTATGCGTGGCTCACAAGACATTTTGTTCACCATTTTCCCACATGCAGGGTTGCCAGATTCCTCTGGTTTCTGTCCATCTATTTTTTTTACTACAAGTATTACTAAAGTGATGTGCATGTAAAGTAAGGGCACGTGAAGTGAGGTGCTTGCTGATTGTACACAGTGTTGACTGTGAGAGCCATGTGCTCCCCTCTGTATCCAATCACAGTGCTGCTACATTTCAGTTGGCACCTCTCTCCACCCCCTGCAAATTCTAGGCACACAAGGGCAATTAGCAAAACTAACCTATCCTGGGAGACTGTTTTGGTTACAACAAATCTTGCAGCCCATTGAGATGGAGGAAGGCCACTCATGTGGTTCCTTCAGTAGCCTCGGTTGCCTATTGCTGGTATGTACTGTGGTGACTGTGCCTACATACCCTGTTTGGGATGTTGGCCCAGGTTGTGTGCGTGGGTGAGAGATGCTGGCCCCATTAGCGCTCTAACCTATCCTGGGAGACTGTTTTGGTTACAACAAATCTTGCAGCCCATTGAGATGGAGGAAGGCCACTCATGTGGTTCCTTCAGTAGCCTCGGTTGCCTATTGCTGGTATGTACTGTGGTGACTGTGCCTACATACCCTGTTTGGGATGTTGGCCCAGGTTGTGTGCGTGGGTGAGAGATGCTGGCCCCATTAGCGCTGAGCTTTATACAGGCAGTCCCCGACTCCGCAGTTACGAACGGGGCTGCCCCAGAGTACACGTACTGCGGGACCTT